AAAATCTTTAAAAAAAAAAAAAAAAAGAAAATAGTTGAATAAACTTTGGTATATGCATAAATGGAGTATTATGCAGCTATAAAAAGGAATGAGGAATATCTCTATATACTATTATGGAGTAATTTAAGTGAAGAAAACAGGGTGAAAAAATATGGATAGTTTGCCTTAACTTATCTAAGAAAGGGTGAGAGGATACAGATATACCTATTTTCCTCAATTTAAAATAAAAAATCAAAGGAAGAGTCATAAAATAAAATTTAAAAAATAGTTTCATCTATGGGGGGAAGGGAAATAGAGTAGAGGGAAAATAGATGGAAGATAGACTTTCAAAAAAAGTGTACCTTGTTTTGGAGATCAGACTTTGGAATCATGTAACTTTTGCATAGTTATAAAATTAAATTAAGTGGTAAAAAGCAATTCCTGAAAATTAAAAGCAGAATGAATGAAATGAACTTATTGTACTCCAGGTAATTGGCATAACCACACAGACAGGAACTATTCCAAGGGACTTTAAAACTCAGGAGCTCAACTAAACTTCCCTAGTAGAATATATATGAAGGACAAAAAGAACTGCCAAAAAGATTGTGAACTGTTTTTAGTCATGATCTTGTTGGAGAAGTGATGGTATTGCTCCTCTGAGATTGTTGCCTGTGTATAGTGGTTTAGAACAAATGAGTCATTAGGTCAATGATGTTGAAAACTGCGATTTTCAGCCTGCAAGAAAGCATATGCAGATGTAAGATCAGTGAGGCTAAGTAAAAACCCTGTAGCTTTGCATTTGAGTTGGAAGTATGTTGTAGTTTATCTAAAATAAAACAAAACAAAAATATTTCCTGCTCTGTCCTTTGATAAGGCCCCTCAAAAACGACCAACCCAATAATAATATGTTGTTTCCCTTTAAAAGGAACAAGGCTCCTTTGAGAAATGTCTGGTACCAGGTCAGGGACAGCAAAGGGGCGAGATAATCCCGGAACATCTTGTTATTAGAAAGCAAGGAAGCTACCGAAGATTGCTAGAGTCACGTTGGACAGACACAGAACTAAGTTGAAGGGGCTGCCACTAGCCAAAGATTGGACAAGTTGAGCAATCACTCAGGGCAGCACTTCTCAAGGATCGACACATTTACTATGTTTAAAGTCATGAGTTCCTAATGATACTTCAAAACAGACATCATTGACCACCCTGAAAGAATGCGAGGGAACCAACTTTTTATTCTGAGAACTAAGTAAAAGAATCAGAATTTCTTCTTCTTTTTCTCTATGAATTTAATCTCTGGGTAACTTGTGAGTTGATGAGGGAAATTTTCTCTTTAAAGAGATATTCAAGGCATTTAAATGAAGAAAGAATGATAGAATTAGAATGTCACCCATTTTGCAACCTCTATGAAATAATGGATCCAGATAATGCTCATCAGTGGCTACTAACATTACAAAAAGAGAGACCACCAGACATCATGGGTCTCCTAATGGAAGAAATCAATACTACTTATGAAATAGACTTGCCAAAAAAATTGAATCTGAATCTAATTAAGCCCCTAGAACTAATAACCAATTTATAGGCAATATGGGGAACAGAGGAACACATTAAATGTTAACACAAGGATGAAACAGGCAAAATCCACACAGGTTGAAACTCTACAGAACAAACTGGTTTCTTCAACAAGTATATTGTGAAAGAGTGAAAAAAAAAATGGAGGAGGAACTGTAGATTAAAGAGACTTAAGAGGCAAATCAATCAATCATTTTGTGTGGCCTTTATTTGGATCCCAAATTATGGGACAACTGGAAAATCTGAGTATTGATCTAGATATTTGATGATATTAAGGAATTATTGTTAAATTTTTTAAGCTGTGATAAAGGTATTATAATTATGTCTTTGAAAGAATCTTTATCTTTCAGAGATACATAGTGAAATATTTACAGATGAAATAATAGGATATCTAGAATTTATTTCAAAATAATGAACAGGGGAAGGAAGTTGTGGATGAGGGTATATCTGAAACAATATTGGCCATGAGTAAATAATTCATGCATTTGAGAAATGGGTAGATGTTAGGTTCATTATACTGTTCTTTCTACTTTTGTATAGGTTGGAACTTTTTTATAATAAAAAGTTACCAAAAAAAGAGGGTGAAATAAAGAGATCTTAAGAACCCTACCCCCTACTACCCTGCCCCCACAATCTCGAAGCTAAGAGAAATTAGACTCTGGATAAAGAAATCTTATCGAGTCTAAACTAGGTGTAATTTTTTTTCTTCTTTTTCATACGCTGTTTGATTTGTTTAATTGTTGAGGCTCTGTGGTGAAGCATATTTGATGCGTTACAGGTAGATGTGTGAATATTTATGATTTAGTGATAAGGGAAATGGACCTCTGGAGCTAGGGAGTGAGGATGCTTGATCGATGTGACCAGGACCGATGGACATTTTGTAGAGCAGGTGTATTCCATGAACCAAATGGTTTTAAAAGTGATTGAATGTCAATTGATTTGGTATTGAACTTTTCTTTCACCAGAGTGATACCAACTGGTGGAAAGGCACCTCCAAAGGCAGGACTGGACTAATCCCAAGTAACTATGGTAAGCACGGCCATGGTGGCTTTACTTTGGCTGTACTTTGTGCACTGTTGGTTGTCTGGCTCCTGAGGCGTTTCTGCTTGCTGCTGTGGCTGAGAAATGAATGGAGTTGTGGCCAGTCTATGGCATTGTCTACTCCATGAGCCTCCTCTTAATGAAATGGTCACGGACGCCGGTGGGACTTGAGCTTGACTCCTTGGCTTAAGAAAATGCACTGTAGCATTCTTGAAAGAACCACAGTGTCCAAGGAAAGGTTTATGGTTTTACTTTATTCAACTCTTAGAACATTTTTCTTTCTTTCTTTTTTTCTCTTTTGCTGTTAAACCAAATTTCAACGATGGTTTCTTAGGCTAACATTTCTTTTGTGGTGACGTAACCCTGCCTCGTTAATTCATGTTTGGGGCAGTGATGTTCGTTAACTGCAGATCAGGGCGGTTCAGGGAGCTTGAGCAGTGGGATGCGGCCCCTGCAATGAAGCTGCTTCTGGTTGGAAGGAGGACAGAACAGACTTACTTAGAAGTCAGCAGAGTAAGGTACAACAGAATGCAGGATTGGTAAATGAGGATCCTGGGTTTTAATCCGTTTTCTTCCACTTCCTAATAACAAGGGATCTTAGTGAAGGCACGTAACTGCTACCCCTGGGACTGTTTGCCCATCTGTATAATGAGAGGGTTTGATTTAAATCACTTCTACAGGTCTTTTGAACTTGAGCATTAGATGAATCCTTAGACCGATAGGGCTGGTATCAGACACTGGTTCCCAGCACTGGAGGGGGACTTAGAAAATTTCAAGGAAGGCACTGCAGAGCTCCCAGGGGAGGGAAAGGGGTGGAACAGAGGGGAGCCAGGGCTGAGGCCTGGGGCCCAACACAGGGGCCCCACTTGCCCTGGTCTAAAGGTGATAAAAAAGACTTTAAACGTTTCTACACTCCTCTAACCTTTGAAATCCCTCATATACTTCTACCGTGCACTCCATTTCCTTCTGGTCATAGACACTGAGGATGGAAAATGCTCCTCTGTTGTTTGGTTCCGTGGTAGCCAAGGGAATGTCCAGTTATAGCCCTCTATGGAAGGTAGGGGGTGGGCCTGAAGTCGAATTTGAAGAGTAGTCTTCTGGCCACTCCCACTGATTCTAGGACAACAGTGAGCACTCCTTCCTTAGAGGCAGGTGGGTTTGCTGATTACCCTTTCTGAATACAAGAAGCAAACTATTTCCCCCTCACTCACCTCCCACAGGCACACAAGGGAAACAGAATAATTTTCAGCCATCTTCAAATTGAAGTGGAGTGTTTTACAGAACGTAAAAATGAACATCAAATACTTTCTCTTGCATTCTTGTGACTAAGTTTGTTTATTTAGTACTTGAGTAAACTGGTGTGCAGGCCCTAGATCTGTTTGGTTTTATTTGTACTTCTAGTTAATTGCTGTCTGTTTTTGTTTATACCTCCAGTTAATAATGGTGTTATTGCCTTGTTGCTAAGGTTTTATGTAACACACAATTCAGCTTCTTTTAAAGCAGGAAACATCAGTTTGAATTGCTGCTATTTCTTGTCCACATTGAGTAAGGGAAGCTGTATGGTGGAAGGCCCTGGTGCCTCGGAAGCTGGGGACTGTGAGGAGGGCGTGGCTTCAGTGTATCATTTGGGTGGCACGTCCAACATTGGGTTTGCACTTTTTCTTTTCAATCTAGTGGCTGAGCAGGCAGAATCCATTGACAATCCATTGCATGAAGCTGCCAAAAGAGGTAGGTGTGATTCTTTTTGATTGAGTAAAATGCTCAGATTTTAATTGTATAGTTTGATGACTGTTGAAAAATGTATACATCCATGTAACTAACACCCAGGTCAAGATCTAGAACGTTTCTATCATCCCAGGAAGAATTTCTGCCTCCCCCAAAGGCAGTCTCTATTCTGCCTTCTATCATCCTAGTGTGATTTTAATTTTAATTTTAAAATTTCAGTCAACAAACACTTTTGAGTGCTTTACCTACCCCGTGCTCAGTGGCAAGTGGAAAGGCTGGGTCTGTGACTCCCAGAGCTCAAAGTCTGGCAGGGGAGAGATGTGTGTAACAGATCATTAGAAGATGGTGTGATGAGTACAGCAGTTGAAGTGTGTTTATGTTGAATAGGCTATAGAGGCCAGAATGAGTAACTGGAGGTCAGGATGGTGGAGACTTCTTGGCGGTACAGCATTTAGAAGAGTGTTAGTGTGGTGCGGGTGTGTGTGTGGTAGGGTGGGGCGGGGGAGGCACGGAGCATCAGGGATAGGCCTTGTACCTGGGGCTTTATCCTATAGATCCTCTCTCCAAACCCTGGGACTTTTGGCAAAATCTAGAGACATTTTGACTGTCATAACTGGGAGGATGCTACTGGCACCTTTTGGGTAGAGAGGCCTGGACATTGCTGAACATCCTACAGTGCGCAGGACAGCCCCCACAACAAAGAATTCTCCAACCCCAAATGTCAGTAGGGGCGCTGTTGAGAAACTCTGCCATCGATAATAGGGAGTTTTTTAAGCCCTCCCTTTCGTTCTGTTTTAGATATTTTTGAAATCTGAATGTGCGAAAGGAAATTATTGGTTTAGGATGGTGCATGACTAGAACTACTAAACTGACATTTAAAAAATTCTTCTTAAATTAGATACTTAGGTCATTAGCCAGAGGATTTTAAATTAATAGTTATACTTTAGCATATAAGAGCAGCAGTTTTGAGTAGGTTATTTAGCGTATCTTTTCTTGTAAGAACTAAAAACACATTTTAAATATGAATATGAGTAGTGTCTGCTTATCCTTAGGTTTGTTTTTTTTCCCCCAAGTTCTGAAATTTGATAAAGGAAAATAATATATATAAATTTTTTATAGCTAAAAATAGCCTATGTAGATCCATTTAGGCAACTCTTCCCATTAACCTACCATTAAAAATTGATGTTAATGCTTTCCATTAATAAACTGGAAGGCAAAATGTACTGTAATAAATGCATTACTGGGCAGGTCTTAATTTCAAATTTGCTGATTAATCCATTGCAAATGGAAATTTATGCAGGATGAAATTAATTTAAAAGCAAAACAAAAAAATAAGAGCTTTCTTCTTGTGCTTTTATAAATGTAAAATTTTTTCAGGCAACTTGAGCTGGTTGAGAGAGTGTTTGGACAACCGAGTCGGTGTTAATGGCTTAGACAAAGCTGGGAGCACTGCCTTATACTGGGCTTGTCACGGGGGTCACAAAGGTACTACATTTTGTTTGTTATCATAAACGTCTATGCTGCTGAAAATGTGCTTTGCTAGGGGATCCAGAATTACAAAAATGAAAAAAAAAAGTCGATTATTTTTTTCAGATCCTTTAGAACATCAGCCAAAAGCCTTGTTTCTGGAAGCTCTGTAAAAGAGTGGGTAGAATGTAGTCAGTCAGCCTCACTGCGTGGACCTCTCTCCCTTGAAAGAGTGGAAACTTCCTTTCCTCTCTCCGGCTTGGAAAGGTTACAGGAAAACAACAGTAATATAAAAACAAACCCCGCTATCTAATCTTACAAAAGAAAGGGGCAGAATTGACTCCTAGCTTAGCTTTTCCCCAGATATGCTTTTATGATTTACATTTTAAGTTTAATGCAAACTATTAGATTCAGGAGAAAGACAGCATTTGCTTGAGTTAGTGATTTGGTCGATAACTTTCTCTGTTATAATCAATAATAATGACAAATGGAATTTCTAGATATATTTCAGCCCGGCCAAAAATCTACCAGACTCACTCTCCTTTTACCTCTCTCTACAACACACCTAAAAAATAAACCCAACAACAATGAGAAACAAGGAACCAAACAAATTAAATGGCATAGCCAAAGGAAAATTACAGCTTCTCCCAAGAGAAGCCTATGTTTTTTTAGCTAATAAACAAAAATTTAATTAATGAATATTATAGCAAAAGTAAAAATATTCCTGTGATAGAGATCATGTGAAAATGCAAAAGCCAAATTATTTGAAAGACATTTTTCAGTAAATAATTGTACCTTTTAGAATCTTAAGTCTTCTATTTACATGAATTTTGAAAAATTTGTTATAAGGATTTTTTTAAGATTCTTCCAAAGAATCCTCCTTTTAAAAATTATTAAGCCTAGTCTTATCAGACTTTTACTTTTCATTCTTAAAAAATATCTTTTCTGTTTGCATTGCAGATGTAGTGGAAATGCTATTTGCTCAACCAAACATTGAACTGAACCAACAGGTGAGATTGCATACATGGAAGTCAGTTAACACACCTGCCTTGTTCTCTTTGTGCAGCTTATGGGCATGTAAAATCCTATCTCAGTGTCTTGAACTGACTTTTCCCCATTTATTATCTTTTATAAAATTTTTACTCAAAATACTATATGTGCATAGTTAAAAAATTATTTTACTAAGTTCATATCGTATAAGGCCCCAAATGCCTGCTGCATTCCTCTTCATGTGTCACTTTCAGCTTTAAGCTCCTGTTTCTTCTTACCTTCATGTTCCTAAGGATTATGCTTATGGAGCTGTCTCATAATTCATCATTTTTATACGTAGTTTGGCATCCTATCTGGTGGGTGAAGATTTAAGCTTGTCAGCTGCCCCATTCTCCTCTTCTGGGACCCAACCTTTCCTCCTCTGGTCCTCCCAATGTATCATGTCATAGTTTTTGGTTATATTACTATATAATGCTTATACTATTAGGGCTATTTAAATATAGTTCACTGCTTGTATAACTTTTTTGTTTCTGTACTTATTGACTTTTATTTAGTTTGTGTGTGTATGTGTCTCACTAAGACTTCTACACTGTCTTATACTCTCTTGGTAGACTTTTCCAAAATGTGTAAGATAATCAACTGCTTTCTTTTTTCTCCCTGGAATGATACTTGCTGAAGCCCTCTATCCTCATTCTCTAATCCGAGCGACTTGGCTCTGCTGTCCTTGGCTGTCTTCCTGGGAAACCCTTCACCTCTCTACTGTGTTGTGTCTTCACTTTTCTGGATCCTGTGTCTTGCATCTTTTGAAGAACATCTTCAAGTAGATTCCTGAGAAAGGGGGGCTTGGGGTTGATTATTTGGCTGACAGAATTTGAGGTTGAAAATGATTTCCCAGCCTTCTGCAGGCGTGGCTCTGTGCTAGTCTAGTTTCCAGGGTTGCTTTTGAGAGGTTGATGCCATTTTGATGCCCATTCTTTTGTGTATGATCTGCTTTTTCTCTCACTCAGAATCTTGACTCTATCTTGGTGTTCTAAAATCTCACAATGGCGTGCTTTGTGGGTCTTTGACCAGTAATGATGGCGAACTCTTTTGGCTTGGAAAAATATCTTGTATTTTTTTTTTATAGCTTTTATCTGACCATTTTCTTTGTTTTTTGGTTCCAGAATGCCCTTTAGTAGTTACTTATGTTGGACTTCTTAGATAGAACCTCCAATTTTCTTAATTTTTCTCAGAGATTTTCTCACCTTTATCTTTATGTTTCATTTTGGTTGTCTTTTTAATTCCCCATAGCCCTGTATTCAGTTTTTGTTGCTATGTCATAGATGACCACAAACTTAGCAGCATAAGACAACACCCATTTGCTTATACTTTCTGTGGGCCAGAATTCTGGGCAGGGCATAGCTGGTTTCTCTGCTCAGGGCCTCACAGGCTGGAATCAAGATGTTGGCTAGAGCAGGATTCTCATCTGGAGCTCAGGTCCTGTTCTACACTCATTCTGGTTGCCAGGAGAGTTTCTTGCACCTGTAGTATTGGGGTCCTCAGCTTTCAGAGACCACCCCTCTCCATAGATAGTTCACAACATGGCTGTTTGCTTTCTTCCTCAAGGCCAGCTAGAGATTGTCTCTCTGGTGCCACTCCTTTTCTTTTGGAAAGGGCCCACCTAGGGGCCGGCCCGGTGGCGCAGGCAGTTAAGTGTGTGTGCTCCGCTGCGGTGGCCCGGGGTTTGCCGGTTCGGATCCAGGGCACGCACTGACGCACCGCTTGGCAAGCCATGCTGTGGTGGCGTCCCATATAAAGTGGAGGAAGATGGGCACGGATGTTAGCTCAGGGCCAGTCTTCCTCAGCAAAAAAAAAGGAGGATTGGCAGATGTTAGCACAGGACTGATCTTCCTCACACACACAAAAAAAGAAAGGGCCCACCTGATCAGGTCAGGCCCACCCAGTATAATCTCCCTTTTGATGAACTCAACATCAACTGGTTAGAAACCTAATTACAGGAGTGATATCCTATTATATTTACTGGTTTCACCCACATTCAAGGGGAGGGAATTATACAGGCGGGGTATACCAGGGGGCAGTGGTCTGGGGGGCCATCTTAGAATTGTCTACCACAAGCTCTTTCTTTTACTCTGTTTGTTACTTTTAAATAGCATCTTTTTCTTGTTCCATTAGGTTATATCATCTTATGTCTCTGATATATTAATTATAGCTTTTTAAAACATTTTCTGCTATTCACTGTACTGTGACATTTTCCTCTAAGATGCATTTATTTTGTTTATTTTGGTCTTTCCTCAAATGCCGAGTGTCTTTGCTGTCCACTCAGGTGTAAGTGTGACTGGAAGCTCTGTGTGTCTATGGGGCTTGTTGGCTGGCGGGCTTCTCCGTAGGGTAAAGTAGTAAGGCCCTGGCTGTTTTGCTGGGTTATACCCAGAGGCCCATATGAGTTCTTCCTCCGTCCCCACCACGCGGGGCTGTTCAGCTTCACCAGAAAAGCATCCTCCAGCCTCCTGCCTGGGGGTACACGCTAGATTGTACACACTGGGGCAGTGGGGTAAATAAAGGCAGCTGGGAGAGGGGTCTTACTGCTCCGTTTGTTGGTTTTTCAGCTAACCCTCTGTTTTTAGTTCCCGGCCTTATTGCCATTTCTCTTGTACCCAGTGTCCATGAGCTTGGAAACTATCTGGTTAATTTCTCAGTGGAGTAATTCTACCGCCTTACTTGGTCACCTGGCAGCAAGGAGAGAGGAAGGTGATCTGGGGTTCTAATTACTCCTTATAAACGCTTTTACCCAGTACCCTTGTTTTCACCCCCATGCCTCGTTCCTGCTCCAAGGTCTCCAGGCATCTCCAATTCCTAATTCAGGGCTAGGTGTCTGCAGGGTCAGATTTGCTTGCTTCGCCCTGGTGTCTCCCTCTGCAGGCATCTGCATTTCTGCTTGTGCTCCGCCAAGTCAGTTTCTACTTCTCCATCCCACTGCTTCTCCCAAAATGACTCATCTCTCATCTCTTGAGTCTTCTTTCCCTTTTTGAAATTTTATATGATTTTATGACTTTGTTCTCATTTTAGGTTTACTTAGATTAAACCTAAATTCATGTGTGTTTTCAATCCACACTCTATTTAAAAAATGCTACTTTCTCTTTTTATCACCATAGAACAAGTTGGGGGACACAGCTTTGCATGCTGCTGCCTGGAAGGGTTATGCAGATATTGTCGAGTTGCTTCTGGCAAAAGGTGAGGTGTGTGCTGAGTTTATCTGGTCTTTGCTTACCCTGAAAAATAGACTACATCAAATTATACCATGTGAAGTAGTAGGAAGAATAATAGGCTCTTTATTTTAAAACTGGGATTTTAACCTCTACTCTGACTGTATCAGAATTATTATGATAAGATGAAATTATTGAAGTTGATTTGGGTAAGTTTTTAGTTATAAATTAAAACCTTGGTAAGCTTTAAAATTACATATATTACTTTTAGTAAGAACGTATTGTACATTTCTGCAGGATTAAAGGGCCTTAGAAGGAAGGCACACACGTCCACGTTTTGTGTGTGTGTGTGTGTGTGTGTGTGTCTGCATGTACGGAGGGGATCCTCTCTGAGAAGGCTGTGGGTAAAGTTGCTGAGGCCCCTGTTCACACAGGAAAGTCTTGATAGATAAGAGAGAAAGCTGTGGCTGCAGTGTCCTGCTTTGAGCTGAGCAGGTGCTAGATGTACAGAGAAGGAAGTGCTAGGTGTAAAGAGAATGAGAGAAGATCCATTGATCCCCTGTTTTTACACAAGTCAGGGAACAGTGAAGTTATGGACTGACCATCCATGCATTTGTTTGTCCCACAAATGTTAATTAACCCTTACAGAAGGCCAGGCATATCACCCTGTACCACGCCCTGGTCCAGAAGGCTGTAATATAGGATGCTTGAGTCCCCAAACCACAAGTCATATGGCTGCACTATCATTAGGGGTCCTTGGAGCAATGTTGTGGGATATACGAGAGGAAATGTTTTTGATTTAATGTATATCAATATTGTAGACTCCAGGTCTAAAGGGAACCACTATCGTGCCCCTCAAAGGCTATGCCAGGAGCTGTGCTGTCTGATGTGGCAGCCACTGACCATGTGTGCTGCTGAGCCCTTGAAATGAGACTAGCCTGAATTAAGATGTGCTGAAACTGTAAAATGCACACCAGATTTTGAAGACTTAGTGAACAAAAAAGGAAAATATCACAATGATTTTTATATTGGTTACATGATGAAGTGATGACATTTTGGATATACTGGGTTAAATAAAGTATATCATTAAAATGAATTTCACTTTTTTGAAAATGTGGCCACTGGAAAATTTAAAATTACATATATGGCTCACATTGTATTTCTATTGGGCAGTGCTGTTCGAGAGGGACGCGGGGAATGGTCGTGTTTCTTCTCTAGCACCGCTGTCTCTGAACATTTCCTTTTGGGATAGAAATCATGTATATGAGTTCTAAAGTGGAATTTAATGTAAAATATGATTAGTCACAGAACTCTTAACCCTCAGGATTTTTGACCTGTAGCACAATAAGAGAATGAGGATTTCTATAGAACCCCAGCTGTGGATAGATGTCAATCTGCTCAGGAGAAAGAGATTTTGGCACACAATCACCATATTCCTAATTAAACATACTATTTTTTTCTTGATTCAATATTTTTGTGCCTTTGAGTTTTAGAACATTTTTTTTGTTTGTTTATTGAAGAGGATGTGGTTGCAAAGGAAATGGCACTCAGACACTGTGTTAGAAAGTGTAAATTGGTAGAGCCTTTTTGGAAAGCAGTCTGACAGCAGCAAGCAGAATTAAAAATGTGCATATCCTCACATTTCAGCACCAATTCTAGGAAACCATCCTTCAGAAATACATATAAACAAAGATATTGTTCAAGGAGGTTCGTGGCAGTATTGTTTGTGATAATGAAAATTAGGAACAGCCTAAGTGCCCGTCATTTGATGGGTGATTAAATAAATTTTGGAACGTCCATAAAGTGGAATGCTTATAAATGTTTAAATAGATTGAGTTGTAAGTCTGCGTCCTACTAAGGAATGAGGACCATTATATATTAAGTTAAAAAAATATTGGGTCAAAAGGCACAAACTTCCAGTTATAAAATAAATAAGTCATGAGGATGTAAGGTACAGCATGGTGACAATAGTTAATAATACTATTGTATTGCATGTTTGAAAGTTGCTAAGAGAGTAGATCTTAAAAGTTCTCATCACAAGAAAAAAAATTTTGCAACTATGTGTGGTGATGGATGTTAACTAGACTTATTACGGTGATCATGTCACAGTATATACAAATATCGAATCATTATGTTGTACACCTGAAACAAATATAATGTTGTATGTCAATTATACATCAATAAAAAGAATGAAATTACAAACCAGTACATGTATTATGATTTTGTGTATATGTACATATGTCTGTGAATGCATTCATACACATAGGGAAGACGAGAACTGACAACCGCTTGTTGGGAATGGTTACCTCTGGAGAAGGTAGAAGATGGAGGAAGGAGGGGGTTTGTTGCAGTATGAAATGGGACATATGCTTTTGTTTAGCATAGTTCTGTATTTTCGAATCTTTCACAATGAGAATGTATTCATGAATTCTGATGTAATTTTTAACAAAAAAGATAAGGAAAAAAGTAGGTAGAAGATGGGCTATGGCAACAATGGATTGCCTCTAGGTTTTATTGTATTACTATTCTGCTAATTTACACGAGAGTATTCTTACAGACATTTTCCCCTCAAGCTTAACCTATATGGTCTTTTCTGAAGATCTTCTTGAACAGAAGAAGAGGCAAAGGCCATGTTGAATTTAATCTCCAGAAACTCATGCTGAGGCCCATGTACCATTGGGCTCTAACTGATTTATGATCTGCCAAGGGGCACTGAATTCCTGACTGAGAAGTTCACATGCAGCTCTATAGGAATTTGAAAGGAAAGACTATATTTTAATTGTACACCATTATTACAAGTGCAGCAACAAGCTCCCTGATTACAGATGCCCGAATATACTATTACTGTTTTGAAAAAGTCTTCCTGTTTGGAAAAGCTTATTTCTGGGCCAGAATTGTTCTCTGTTCTCAGTTAGTTTTGCCAGAAGTGATTAGTTTTGGTAGAATGAGGATTGGCTGCTCCTATAGAGTCTTCAAACACCTAATTTACTTTTCTTGTGTTGGGGAAGGTGCTAGAACAGACTTAAGAAACAATGAGAAGAAGCTGGCCCTGGACATGGCTACTAATGCTGCCTGTGCGTCTCTCCTGAAAAAGAAACAGGGAACAGGTATTTGGTTTTAGTTCGCTTTCTCCTCTGGTGCCGTCATGACTAAGGTTTATTAACTTAGTAGTGGGAAGAAACTTTTCTTGATAAACTCTTCAGGTGATTCTGAAGTTAGATTTTATATCCTTGGTCTAAATCAGCACTCCAGCATGGAAGAATACCCTCATGCAAACAGAAATTTGAAGAGATACTGATCTTTTACTACTTTGGATGTTTCTTTTGTTCCTTGCAATCAAGTTCTAATCACCTTGCTTTGCATTACAGTCCTTATAAGAGAAACTGTGGTCTCCATCTCCTCGTTCCAGATATGTTTTTATGAGTGGTTATCTCTAAACATTTTTTAAGTTAAGCACTCAACAGCTCCATGATTATATTTTGTTTCTGTTTGAAATGAGAGTCTCAATAAACTGTAATCAAAATTGTTCTAGACTTTGTAAATATTTTGGTATCGATTCACAGTACAGGGGGTGGTTTTTAAAGATAAAGTTTAGGTATACATTCTTAAAGATAAAAGTCACTATTGATGTGGGACAACAGGTTTGAAAAAAATTGAAAAGTTTGTGTGGTTGTTTTGAAAAGGTGTTGAAGAAAAGGTGTTAAACACACTTGCATCATTCATGGTTACTATTCAGAGACTGGCTGTTTATTTGACCTCTCAGTACGTAGCCTATTGAACATGTGTCCCCAGATTCGTTCTAATGTGGTGATTCCTGAAGGAAATGCTGGGAGGGTGTGCCTTGAGCTCTTCTTCCCATCCTCCTCCCCTGTTTCCCCTTTTCGTTCATCATCAGCCTCCTGGCCCAAGAGAAACCCAGAGATGTAGGAAAAAGAAAGGTAGAAAATGATTTGGTTGGAGGGAACATTCAGTCTCTTTTTCTCTCACTTCTCGAGCCTTTCTCTACTTTATTATCTTTATTATCTTAAAGTTTGGCACTTTAATGCCATTTTGAAGTATAAGCCAATAATTGATACTTTTTTCCCACCATTTTTCACAAAGGAACTAGCATAATGGAGGACTCACTTTTTGCAAGTCTTTTGCATTGCTGCTCATTCTTCCAAACCTTTTTAGTATTGCTTTAGAGTCTAAAGTTTAGACCGATCCATGTTAGTGGAGAATCACCAAAACAACCTTTGAGAAATTTCCCATATAGAGGTTAAGTGCATTGGTTTCCATTTTAACTTGAGGGTGTTATCACTTTCAGAGTTCTTGAACTTGTGTAATGAGATACTGCTTTTATCATTTGAATCGAATTCCCATTAATTTTTGAACTCTTTGAAAACTTATTTCTCCCTTAGGAATCCTTTGATTTATGAGAAGAGACAATGTTATGCAGTCCCATATTCCATTCCTAGCAGAAGCAACAAATCAAGTCAGTTCCTGATTTGCTGCTTTAGTCCATCAAAAATAGCAAGCAGTCCCCCTCTCTTCATGGTTCACCAAGGGAGCCTCCCAGAATTATCCTCCTTGTCATCAAATTCCCACCATAGCCTTCCTCATGAATCTATTGTGTCTTTTGTCAGTTATTCCAGATATGTGTTTGTTTCAGATTTTTATTTCTTTTAACTTCAGATGTAGTGTAAACCATTAAGCAGTTGGGAATTCCTTAGTTATTTAAGCCATGAACGCTCACTGGCAGAACAAGTCTTTCTTTAAAGTAATTACTCACGCACAGGAGGATATAAGTTCTACTAAATGAACCTGGGGTGGTGCTCCCCAGATACATTTTAACTGAGCAGCTGTATTTGCAGCCGTGTGGGAGAGACATTTTGACTTGAGGTGGCCCTCCTCCTCCCTGCTGCCTTGGTCGGATCAGGAAGTAGGACTATGGCCTAACTTCCTTACTCTGCCACTGACTTCCTGTTGCTATATGGGTGCCTCCAGAATGTCCTGACCCAGGAGTAAGGTTTCTTATGGGCTAAAGGTTATCAGAGTCTCATGCCTTGCATGAACTTGATTGTGATAGGCAAGGGAAATAGCACACCTGCTCAGCCCCCAGAGAGCTGCACCCAGAAGCCCCCACATGAGCAGCTGGAGCAGGGGGAAGCAGGTGCTGAACTCTTCTCTTTTCCCCTCACATTTCTACAGTCTTTGTAGAATAGGGCCAGGAGGTGGGTGCTCTCTTTCTCTGCTCACTTCAAGTGTCTTTAGTCTACCTGCCTAAATTTGTACTGATTAGATAATGGATTCTTTAATGAGGTAATCTTGAGGCCTGGCACACAGAGCCAAGAAATGAATTTTCTTATTACCTTTTTCTCTCTTTTTTCTTGGTTCATTCCCCCAGTCATCCAGTTACAGAGGTTTTAATTTGTATTTTGATCTGAGTTGGAATGAGAGTGTGAATATTGGGCCATATAGCTAGTTGCCAGCATGAACTCTAAGCTGGAAAAGGTATATTCTGATATTGTTGTCCACATTTAAAAACACATCTTGGATTTCTTATAAGGACCAAATAATTCATATGTTGTAGTTACCATGAAGGGTAAATTTGGGATATAGGGGTGGGGTCAGGGCTATGCTTGAAGGTTGAGCCCTTAAATTCTTTTTCTAATTTTTAAAAATTGGGGTATAATTTACATTAAGTAAAGTACATAAATCCTAAGTGTTCAGCTTGATGATTTTTTTTTTTCTGTGCTTACACTTACTCACCACAACCCAGATCAAGATGGAGACTATTTCCCACACCCTGGAAGCCTCCCTTAGCATCCTTTGCTTCTCTCACCATAGATTCGTTTTGCCTGTTCTCAAGTTTGATATAAATGGAATCAAACAGTATATACTTTTCTGTGTCTAACTTCTTTCACTTAACGTTATGTCTGTGAGATTTATCCACATTATTATGTTTATCCCTCCACCATTTATTATTTACTTATTTATTGTTTGTTTGTTTTGTTTGTCTTAAGTGCTGGTATCTGACTTGGAACATGTAAATCCAGGGCAGTGAGCTTGAGGAAAAATGGGAGAGAGGTAGGGGAGGATGGGAAGTGCTCTAGGAGATACGGTACCATGCTGGTCATGCCCCAGTATGGGCTGTGAAGAGATACAGCTCAGCACTCAGCACTTGTCCATGTGAGAAGTTTCCAGAGAAACTGCCTCAGAGCAGTCCATGAAAGGAAGGAAGGAGAAGGAATTTATTTGCCAGGCTCATTCCTGTCTCTTGATTTCCATTTGGTCAGAGTTTGCTCCATGGCAAGTCATCTTTCTCTTGCTAACAGGAGAAATGAGGTTAAAACAAAGTGCAGAAGTAACCATTGAAGGACAAAATATCTCAAATGGGCAAGACACAGGATTGTAGTAGCAAAGTAGAAAGGGAAGGAGCTTTGCTATTTGTCTTTAGCTTAAAAAGCTACTGTTACCAAGTTCACAGCCAGTCCTGCAGGTCCTGGGTGTGTGTGGGATAGAAGAAATATATTCCTCCCGGTTCTCCAGATCTCTTCTTAAGGAGAATGGAGAAGAATATAGTCCACCTGGAGACTTCTGGTAGCTTGCAAGCTGGTGTGAAATCGTTGAAGCTTGCCTCTGTTCTGCTCACATCCACTTGTTCATCTTTTATCTTTCCTTCTCTCTCGTGTAAGATAAATTGGCTTCTACCTCTCTTTACTAACTCTCCCTTGTCCCTTCCTTTTTCTCAATAATCCTTTTCCTAAACTTGTAAAGACTCTTAAAAAGACTACAATATCATTAGCATACCTAAAATTAATAATAAGTCCTGAACATCATCAAAGATTTTGTCATTGTCAAAATTTGCCATTTTTCTCATTCAAGTTTGTTTATTCTTTGCTTTACTTACTTATTTACTTCGTTTCTTTAAGTCAGGGTCCAAATAAGGCCAATTTCTAATTGACAGATATGTCTCTTAGTTTTTTTTTTTTTTTTTAAGTCAATGCTTCCTTTCCCCTCCCTCTTCCCCTTTTTTTAGCCCGGCAATTTATTTATTAAAGAAACTGGGTCATTTTACCTGAATTTCCCAGTCTAGACGTTGCATGTATGCATTCCCATGGTGTTTGTCGTGCTCCTCTGTCCTCTATATTTTTGTTAATTGGTGTTAGATCTAGAGGCGTGATTAGATTTGGATTTTATTTATCTGTCTATCTTAGGGGTAGAGGAAGAATACTTAATATAGAAAATCAGGTTCTTCCATCAGAGTCACATAATATCTGATTGTCACTCCTCCTATGATGTTAGCATCCATTGATCATGTCTAGATCCATTATTTCCGTAATGGTTGCAGAATGGTGATATTCTAATTCTGTCACTCTTTCTCAGTTATTAGCTAGAATATTCTATAAAGAAAAATTTCCCCTCATCAGCTGTTTGGTTACTCAGAGGAGTAGTTCATGTAGTAGGGACAGAATAAAGGATGGATTTTTGCCCTTTATTTAAGAGTTTTCAAAATAGCATTCTGGTTCCCCATCATTCCCTGAAGGGGACCAGTGAATTCTCCTTGGTATGTGTTCAAATATTTGCTATGTGTTCAAATATTTGCTATATTTTATCCACTATAGTTAGTATCTGTATTGATAGCCCATCTTTGGCTAGTGGAGGACTCTTCACATTGGATCCTGAACCCTTTTAAAATGACACTATCCTTGATAGGATCCTTGCTTTAGGGCATGACAGGAGGTTCCAGGTCCCTCTTTTACATTTTCTGACCCAGACTTGGAATGAGTCATATTGAGCATGGGAATGTAGTATTTAGAGACCATCACCTGGATGCTATAACGTGCATTTACTGAGCTCTGACAATGTGCTTATACTTGCGTTTGTTTTCCCCCTAAAATGGTACCTAGTGTAACCTGTTGCGATAGGAGTTTGACGTGGCAGTTGAATAGGTGAACAGTTAAAGATCAGATGTCTTTCTTTTGAGCTCTGTTCGAGGTTGATTTAACATTTGATGGGGTTCAGCTTTTTCTGTTTCAAAACTTTCATTTATTCATTGTTCATTTCAGTCTTTTGCTTCTGAGTATACTTTATTTATCAGTGTTTTCTAAAATGAAACTGAAGCTTCTGTGTTTTCGTTCTCTTTCTTTTCCTTTTCTCCCCGTATTAGTTGTCTTTCTGCCCAGTGACCTTGCCTTCAGGTAAGGCCGCAGGCTGCCGACTGAGTGAAGCCACATGTGCGCTTGTCACTGGGAGAGGAGGTTGGAAGCACAGTTGTCAGAGTGGAGGGGCTTCTGGTGTGTTCCACATTGGCCATGGTGCATGTGGCTGGTCGCATTTTGTGCGAGATGGACTAATGGTCCCTCAGCACCATGTGCTTTACTTTTTGGTATGTCTAAGGAACATGCAGACAAATGTATTTGTAGATAGATAAATCTGTGGCAGCAGAAACTGAACAGTTAGCCTGAAAAGCAAAAGTGGAAAAAGATCCTCAGGGAAAATACAATCCCTGGGTCTGAGGAAAGATTACAATTTGTTGAATTGTCAGGAGCTTTGAAAGTGAAAACAAAATCCGAGCGATTTGTGATTTCTCTGTTTTGCTTTTTTCCCCCTATTTCTTTCAGATGCAGTTCGAACATTAAGCAATGCCGAGGACTATCTTGATGATGAAGACTCAGATTAATTCCCTTTCAGAGCTTTAAGATCTAAAACTTCTGTTGCTTTTGCCATTCCAAAACCTTGTCTTTGCCAGAAGAGTGTTGGTAACTGTTTTAAAAAAAAAAAAATCTATATGAACGTGGCAGTATTGCACTGTTTGAGTAGAACGTGTAAATAAATAGTTCTCACCTTCGGTTTGCCGATAAGTGGCTGGATACTTTGCTGTATAAAGTACATTGTTGTTCACCAGAGTAGAACAAGAAGAGATTATTTCTATTTATCAAGCTAAAGGAATTTTAAGACTTTTTTTCTTTGAAAAAAATCGGGATGGTTTTTTTAGTTAAAGTTCTTTACCTCAAGGATTAAGATATTTTGAATGGATTTTTCAAGGGGGAAAATGCTTATTATAATAATAAACCAAAAGACTTAACAGAAAATCGTCAGCTATTCTGACAAAAATAAACATTTTAAGAGACATTGTTCCTTTTGTCTGTTTTTCTGGTATCACTCTTTGCTGGTAAATAAATAAAGCTTTTTATATTTATATTTAGATAAAGACTGGTTTTATTTTTTTAAATTATGTTTTGTATGTATTAGCACAAAAGAATTATAATAGCCAAATTTCTCTTCAGTCTCTTATATCTGCTTTGATTAAAGTCAAGACAATAATCTTTGAAAAGATACATTTCTAATAAAATAGATAACTTTAATAATTATGAGACTTTCACTTTTATCTCCAAGGTTATACATAGGGTGAAGAAACCCAGCAACTCATTATAGTTTGCTTAAGGTTTGAAAGATTAAAAAAATTGATTTCCTTATGGAAGATGGTGTAGTTTTCCATAATGGAGTGAGGGACCAAGAGCCGTGGAATTTTTTTGCATTTTGATAACATTTGTTTTCTTAAATCAAGGCTCCAGCTCATAATGGTTCAGATTCTTTTGCTAAAACATCAGTTAACATTGCAGGGAGCCTTCTGTACGACTGAAGTAACACTTCATTTGAGATGCTACTGCAATGATGATATTAACAATGACATGGCCATTGGCATTTATCTAGATTCCAGGCCCTAGGCCCAGAAGTATATTTTGTAAGAAGACTTCGATACTAATTTCAAAAAACACATTGGTGAAGAGAAGGAAATGTTTGAAAAAGGAAGTGGGTTAGCTCAGGAAATGAATAACTGCCTCAATAGAGTGTCCTCTGTCTGTGGCTCTTCGGTTTTTCTCTCCGAGGGTGCCTTGAGAAAGGATACCCTGAGAAGCCTGTTCGAGGCCTTTCAAATACCCCAACTCTGTTTTAGTAGAAAGAAATCTGTATAAGCAGTGACAGCAAAGGATGAGCACAAAATCTGAAATTAATAAAAATTAATTTCTTATTCTCAAAACAAATACATTATTAGATTTGAGTTAAACATTTATATTTCTTCATAAGCATAAACTTGAAGATATGAAATCCTTGTTGAAATTCTGTCTGTTCCAACGGAGGCTTTGAGGCTTCATTCTTTAAAATGGGGTTTGTGTCTTAACAAAACACTTGTGGAAATCTCTAACTTTTTGCTCTTGTGTACTTTGCACCTAGGGTAATTCGGATAAATGCCAACTAAACAGTCTTAATTTTTTAACATGGGCAGAGATAATACAGTTTGTATGAATATAGATACTTTTTATGAAAGCACTCCATGCTTGATGTAGATATATTTTTTATGTATTTGCGGAAAAGAATAGTGGAGGCTTTACTGTCATTGCTTTTAACATTATCAAACTGTAGAATTCTAGAAAATTGGCCAACTGTAGTTTTTTTGGGAACGGAGGGCAGATTTAGGTATATGCACGAATTTTTGGTGAAACAGGACAACACATTTAGCTGTGGTTGAAACTCCATGGGAAAATTTACTTTTGTTTCTTGTTTATTCAGCCTAGCTGATCTGAGCTTTCTCAGAGATTGTCTAATGCTGAACTCAGCAACCAAAAGCAGTTCTAAGAACGTGCCACTGCTCTTACTCTGTGCAGAGGAGAGCTTTGATTATGTTCTAGAAATGATTTTGGAGATTTTGCTGGAACCTGAGCTTTCTGACAGTCACTGTGGCCTGAACTCCTTCCCAGCAGATGCATCATTGAGATAGAAGATGGCTTCCAGCCCCTTGGGCAGTGAGATACTTGTCTAGCCATCGGCCTAGTAGCCTCATGCAAAGAACAGTTTTTATTACTTTCCCATTTCAGTTTCCTTACTGGGACTGCTCTGTTGCAAATTATTTGTTGTCGGACTGCCATCCATTATGGTCGTCGGTTTCTGTATTTCTTTAGTGAGCCCCCCATTGGCTTCTTTTTTCAATAGACTGGCCATGTTGTTACTCAAAGGAGAATATTGAGCAAATCAGTCATGACCCTATTTTCTTCTTTAATCTTAAAAAACAAACTGGTAATGCTGAAAATGAAATCTCAGATAATTTTAGGTAAAGGGAAATATAATGTTTCCATATAAGCTTTCTTCATAAATGTTCTTTGTTGTGTAGAATTTCTGATTTAATCGTATTTCTTCTTATTGTGAATCCTGTATTTCTCATCTTTGTAAACGATGATTCCTTTTCTGAGAGGCTTTAGAGCCTAACATTCACATCTGATCATGAGCATTTCTCTGTTGACTTTGATTTTGTGTTTGTTCTCCTGAATTTTATATTGTAAATATGTATGGGGCAGTAAGACACAGAGCAGCCATATGTTGCGCACCACACTTTGAAGTGTCTGATTACTAAAAGTTGAGGTTTTGGTGGGAGAAGTATTGCGAAAGATTCTGCTCTCTCTGTTTTAACTGAAAATACAGCTTTGGTGAACAGTTTTCTTAAGTGAAGGAAAAATTGCAGACCACAAATTCATGGTTTCTGTCTCCTTATTTCTTAATAACAAGCCTTTACATCTGCCCCTCCCTTAAAATGACATAAAATTAAATAAAACTACCGTTTATTAAATGCCTACTCTGCCAGTTCCTGTGCTAGACTCTTTCATAGACATGATGTCATTTGATCTTTACAGCAGCCCCAGCAGTGAACATTAATGCCCCTATCTTTATACAGAGAAGCTGAGGTTTGAAGAAGTTAAGTAACTGGCTCAAGGTCACACTGCTTGAAGGTGGAAATGCAGGTCTGTCAACTTCTGAGCTCATGCACCTGCTGCCTAGGGCACTGGCAGATGACGCCATTCACATCCTGCCAGAAAAATACGCAGAAATAGACCGGCTCCTATTCCAACTCAATCTGTGGATGTAGCATCTAATAAATTCAGCATATCTGCTAATTTAATTAAATGTGTTATTTAAACCAACCCTAAAAGCTTTTTTTTTTTTTTTTAATAAAGAATCTCCTCCCACTTCCAGAAAAATTTTGGCAAAACTTTTTGGTTCTTGGTAACCCTGAAGAAATATGATTTAATGAAGCAGTTTGTACTCCCAAGTTTCCAAAATTTCCAACTCTATGCCCATGAAACTGTGAATAAGTATTAAAGAAGGAAAGCCTAGATTAGCGATTGTTCTTGTGCTGAGTTTGCATTGCTAAATTCAACATTTCCCTCCGACAGTCTGAGAGCTCGTCACATATTTCCACGTAACCATGATGATAAATGCATCTCTGGGAAGGGTCAGAGAATGTTGTCTTACCCAAGTCTGAGAGCTCATCATGGACATGTAGGTAACTCATACTTCCCAGGCAGCTCTGTGGTTGCCTTCTGCCAGTGGCCATCTGCTTGGGGTTCCCAACAGGCTCAGCCTCCCGCCTAAACTTGCACTGTTGCCAACTGGGAGCTGGAGAGATGCCAGGTTGTTGGCTGTGGCTGGAAAAGACAACTGAGGAGATCCAAAGGGATGAGTTAAAGAGCCTGAGAGGAAGTAGGAAGGAGAGTGGAGGAAGAGACAAGGAGGAAAGAGGTTGAACAGCAGAGGAGAAATGGTGACCTTTTTAAAATTATCCATAGTTCTGATATGAAATCACAAGAATGATTCAAGAAGTGGCTAAGAGTATGGGGTTTGGAGTGGAACTCTCTAGATTCAAGTCTGGCTCTGCTGGTGATTGCTGAGTGACCTTGGACAGATAATCTAAAACACTCAGATTCCTTAGCTGTGAAATGGGGAAAGTAATAGTACCTACTGCCTAAAGTTAGGAGGATTAAATAAAATGATCTATGTGAATGACTTAGTGTCTGGCAGAGTAATTGCTCAGTAAATGTTGGCTATACTCATAAGCCTGAAGGAGGAGGTTTTCATTAAAAACAAATAAATGCATTATATGAAGGATGTTCAACAAATGTTTTTCAAAGGCACCCCCATCATTGTGAAGTGTAGGATTTCCTAAAATACTTTAAAAATGAATGGAGGACAATGTTGTTTCCTTCCAGTCATTTAGGTGTGTTTACCTGTGGTAGTAGCATTTTTCAATGTAAATATACTTTTTGTGAATTACAGAGAAGAGGTATATAACTAGAAAAGACCTGGTTGTTATTGTTATTATTATTAAAATAATTAAAAGGTCAAGTGAAGAGATTGTCTCTGTCACTGTTTCAGTTTTACGTTGTTACTTTGGAGTCATTTGATGGGCTTGAAATACCATGGGTCCAATATTTGGTTTGTGATGACTTTAAATCTGATGGGTATTTGATATTACCATCTTGCTCTTACATGTCTTCAAAATGGAAACAATCCATCTATTCAAATAGATTAGCTTTGCAACTTCATACATTTACCCTAAAAGATATAAGCTTCAAGGATTTAGTCTCCCAGTGTCAATGAGATAGAGAATCTAAGACACTTAGAAGTTAAGTATCATACAGTCCTCACTAACTTTGAACAAGAAGGCCACAGAACAAGAGTTACATTGGATATTTCATCATTCTCCATTCCAGAAGGGGAACTCCTGAGGCCACAAGGAAATGCCTTCTTATACCAGGAGTAAGTCTAAGATGGGGAAGCAGAGCCTGTTTGGACACAGGTTGGTATGAAGAATCAGCCAAAGCCAGTCATTGACTGAAACTAGAAATAGCTTCAGAGAAATCTGTACTCCTGGAAAGCCCTCAGAGAGGATATATCACCAGGAGACCAGGGCTCAGGGGACACCTGGCCTGCAGCCCTCACCCTGTCATTTCTCAGCCCTGTGAGGATCAGGTGATGTTGGCTCTTTGTGTGAATGCAAAGTGTCATTGCTGCATCAATTTTTTAGAGGACCTTGATCAAGGACCTGATTTTTGGGAACCTCAGATTTCAGCATAACCCAGTGTGGTTGCTGTGTCAACTTTTCAGCGTGTGGTACCCCTCACCTGCAGCAGGACACGTGAAGAACCCCTGCACTTATTCTCATAACTGGGGGTCAGATGGTGGGTCTCAGGATGAAAGGGTGCTTGGGGGTCTTCTACTCTCACCCAATGAGTACGCGAGTCTGGTGTAGTGGGAGGTTTTTGCTGTGTCTTTAGATCTGCATTTGTCAGTTCTTGGGTTA